GTATAACCCTCATACCAAAACCAGGGAATGACATTACTAAGAAAGAAAACTATAGACCAATATCCCTCATGAACATAGATGCAAAAATTCTCAGCAAGAAATTAAATGGTTGATGACACAACAGAATCAATGGAAATTAAAAGGATACCAACAGAATCCTATGAAAAATTATACTCCAATAAATTTTAAAATCTAGAATGGCAAATTTTTTGTAAAACATGACCTCCCAAAACTAACACAGACAGAAGTAGAAAACTTAAACAGACCTATAACAAAAGAAGAAATTGATCAGGTTATTTAAAAATTCTAAGAAATAAAAGTCCAGGCCCAGATGGCTTTACTGGTGAACCCTACCAAACATTCAGAGAAGAAATGATGCCAATTCTACCCAAGCTATTCCAGAACATAGAAAAGAATGTAAACAATGGCTCATTATTAATAGATTCCAGTTCTATCGATGCTGCACTTTCAAAAGAAGTTGAAAAAATGGGAGCAGTTGTCATGATGCCCCAGTTTCTGGAGGTGTGGGAGCTGCTCAGATGGGAAGTGACCAACAGGAATACTGCAGATATAGAACTTCCAAATGGCAAAGAAATCAACTAAATTTCAAGACTGTTTTAAGCAGGGGGAAAAAAATTAATAAATTACAGGGTACTCTCAAAAAACTTAACATAGCTGTGCATTACAATGAAAAAAGAAAAATCTGAAAGATTCAGTAAACATTAACATAACAGAAATGAAAATGAGAAGAAAACCCACACAAAAAAAATGAACTTAGTGTAGAAAATTATGTGGCACAAAGAATCCAGCAGCACCACACACACACACACACACACACAAAAAAAAAAAAAACCACACAGAAAAATGATAGTGATAAGATCCCCAAAATAGGATGTACCCCAGAAAGCTCCTCCCAGGTCTGCCCCTGCCCCAAATATCCTGAGTGGTTTCAAATAACAAAAACTGACAAGTTTCAAAGGCTATATGTCACAAACAATATTCAATTGTAGCTGCATGCTCAAACCCAACATAACAAGAATATGCCCAGACAGCCTTGGAAAACAAACTCCAGGTGCCAGATTACAGAGACGTGTTGTGTTCCTTCATTACAAGAGAATAACCTTGCTTTTTGCTTCTGTACCTGGCTTGCTCCTCCTCCCCTGAAGTTTTAGCCTTTTAAGCCACCCCAACCTGCAAACCTTAGAGAGCTTGCTTTAGCCTGTTTGCAGACGCTGATCAGCAATAAGGACTCTTCATTGCCAACTCTGTGTCTCTGGTGCGGTATCTCCAATCTCGCTCTCAGATTCTCAGGTCTAACAATAGCAATCAGTTCATATAACTATTGATAATTATACTGAATATAAATGGATTAAATGTACCAATCAAGATACAGAGAGAGCAGAATGGATAAGAAAACAGGATCTTGCTGTTTTTTCGCAACGGGTTTGCCGCCAGAATACAGGTGTTGGTGAAAACCATCGCAAAACCTAAACCAAAATGGGAAAGGAAAAGACCCATATCAACATTGTCGTTATTGGACACGTCGACTCCGGCAAGTCAACCACTACTGGTCACCTGATCTACAAATGTGGTGGAATCGACAAAAGAACCATCGAAAAATTTGAGAAGGAAGCTGCTGAGATGTGGAAGGGCTCCTTCAAGTATGCCTGGGTCTTGGATAAACTGAAAGCTGAACGTGAGCGAGGCATCACCATTGATATCTTCCTGTGGAAATTTGAGACCAGCAAGTACTATGTGACCATCATTGATGCCCCAGGACACAGAGACTTTATCAAAAACATGATTACAGGAACCTCACAAGCTGACTGTACTGTCCTGATTGTTGCTGCTGGTGTTGGAGAATTTGAAGCTGGTATCTCTAAGAATGGGCAAA